ATTGGGATCTCGTTTTGGTTTCACCGGATCTTCAGCGTTCGATTCAACTGTCCGTGCGACTTATGCCAACTGAGGTACGATAATAGGAGTCCTTTTATGGACTGGGGAACAAAATTCGGTCCACCTGTTTGACCAGTCAAATCCCTCTTGATCGTGAAATGTGTGTGGCTATCCCGCACTGTAACAAAGTTATTCGCAAATCTCCGCGGTCTTATCACCCACGCTGGTGCTCCAACAGCCGATACGCAGTCTTCTCGTCTTTTTCCAGCCGCTCGATGCAAGCATGCCACTTTCCAATCAATGAATTATGATGTGCCTTGACTTCTTTGCTCTTTTATATTTTCAATCTTTAGTGAGCCATACCATTTTTTTTCCTCCGTTTTTTTGCAGACTGGTGTTTACGTAGAATCACCCCAACTGGTTGCACCGTGTGTCGTGCGAAACGCTTACCAAACTTTGGGTCATCATCCGCATTCACCTGACCCATCTTCAATTACACCGAACTGTCCCACTTTTCGCAAGCCCTCACACATTCAGTTTACCCGCCCTGACCAGCAAGTACAGTCTACCCGGCAACTGTCTGCCGCACATGCGGCAGCCGCTGCATATCACAATCTAATGTTTTTCCAGCTTCAACAACAACAACAACAACAGCAGCAGCAATTTCAGCATCATCCGCAACGGCAGTTTCAACAGCAGTCACAGCTGTCGGCGAATTTTCCCCCAGTGTCCACCATGCACCCAATCCACTTGGCTGCTGCGGCTGCCGCAGCCGTGAGTTCTCATTCGTGCATTCAGAACGCTAACACAAATCCTATGTCTCATTCTGAGCTCTCATGGTCCACCACTTCGTCTGCTGTGACCGATGTTGAGGATCCAGCAGCCGCCGCGGCTGCCTCGTACTATGCAGCGGCGGCTGCCGCAGCAGCCGCGGTCGCTCAACATGGTCAACAACAACAGCAGCAGCAGGAGCAGCAACAACAACAGCTGCAGCATCGCTATCATCGACAAGAGCTGGAGCAATTCCTGTTTGATCAGCATTCCATTCATTTAGGTACTCAGCTTACTGCGGCAGAGCAGTGCCAACTGAGTGCTCATTTGCTACGACAACAGCAACAGCAACATCCATTGGGAAAATTCTAGTCCGCTTCTTATTGGCGCTGACACGTAGGAAGGAGTTTGTGTAACTGTGAGCACTGGCATATTTTGCACTCGCTTTCCACTTGTCTTGCTGCCCCTCTTCTTGGCATGGTTTCCTCCCGACATGCATTCCTTCCCGATTATTCACCCCTGTTCCATCTGGTTGGTAGCCATACGTAAGCTGTCGGCCTGTCTATCGTTCTACTGCTCATATTCGCTATTCTCTGAACGCATATATCGCCTACTCTATTCCCGGACACATTTCGTAACTAGTCTTACCAACGGAGATCGTATTTTGTGGATTGCACTTGTTTGACCAATTCCCCATTACTGGTCATATAGGATGATCACACCTTAATTCGCATTGTATAAACATCTTCTTTCCCTTGTTCTATACCTTGAATGTGCCTGGGCATTCGTGTTGGCTTGTGCCAGTGTCTTCATCTACCTCGACATGTCCCTCCCATCAGGCTTTTCGTATTTGTTGCTCTGTATATTTCCCATTTATCTACCCCTCCTCCCGAGCTACTGCCTGTCGACTTACCTACCTCCATTTACGCGTGATCCCTTCACAAGTGTCGCTCTCGTCTTCGTGAGTTTCACCAGTCTGTCTCGCAATCTCTTTTATCCACTAGCATTCATCGTACCTGGTTGCTGCGCACAGACTGATCAACATTCGTCAGCGTTTCCATATTGTGTTCTGTTTGCGTGTTCGCACAGACGTGAACGTACACTTTCTGAAGCGTTCTGGTCATACAATAGCCATGCAACTGTGATTCCCATTCTCTTTGATGACCGAAGCAATGTACTTGTGTTCTCAACTCTTTCTCCCGCCCAATGTTTTTTGTTCTTTTTTGGTGTGTATGCACCTGTCTATTGGTGTGTGTATGTGAGTGTATTTTCGGATGGCTAAACTGATGTCAATGCTGTTCACTTGTTTTTGCGTTTCTCGGGTTATTGATTCCACTATGCACGTCGACTCTGCTTTCCTATTCCTTGATCATTGCCTCGAGAAACTCACCAACCCTCTTGACCAAAGGACAAATATCTGTTTTCCCTAGTAAACACTAAGGCATTTGCTTAACGGATGTGAATTCTCTATGAGGCTCGTGACTGCTGGGCGCCTTCATTAGTGTTTAATTTTTGCCGATGGGTTATTCCGGTTGCGACATTCGTTCAGCGTTCACCTTCAAGTTTGCGGTACACTTCATTAATTTGTGTATGCTATCGTTAGATGATAGTGCCTTTCACAAAGCACATGGCTGGTATCGTTTGTTCGAATGAATTTCTACCCGGAGATAATCGTAAGTCGCAACTAGCTTCAAATTCGATCGCGTCGATTAGGCCCAAATCATCATGAACATTGCTTTTCCATTAATAATATGAAGCAACATTTTAAATTGACCAGCGCAGTGAATGAGCGTTTATGTTTTGTGAATGGCACGGTTATTTTGAATTGTGGTTTACACAGTCGCTGCCGTCGAAAGGTACAGACTAATGCCATTAGTCAACTTCGAATTAGATATAAACGACAGGGATCATATAATGAACTATCCGGTTGGTAGATTCACAATGGTTTGATGTCGCTAGGCATCAGAACTCTAGTCCGCCNTCCGCCTAATTTATTGATGATATTCCTTCTCACTGCTGTCTGTGAATGAGGATGCTAACCTCACTTCATGTGGGCTTTCCACGTTGCTCGCTAGTGTGACTCATATCCAACGTTTTGGTTGCATTAGTCACTGTTAGCGTGTACATTCAGTATGCAAACTATCGATGTGCGTTTTGCCCATCATGGGGTGATGTGCAGGTTTGTGACTTGTTTATATGTTCTGGCCTATTCCACTTACGTCGATTGTGATTCCCTCTTCAATCCCATAAATATACCTTCATATTGTGTTGTCAGGTTATCGTAGTCGTCCCTTTTCGTGCACATGGTTATATATATATCAATATATATCAATATATATATCAATATATATCAATATATATATATATATATATATAAACAAGCATGGCGCCAAAGGGTCAGAATTGAAGATGGAGAATAAACGGAATAACAATTTGTGTGTTTCACCGTACTCTTTTCGAATTTTGTTTGTTTACACGGGGCACGAGATTTTGACAGGCAGACCGTACAGCAATCGCGCCACTGACTTCTATTCTGGGCCATATTTCTCTAACCAACAACAATCCTCATCCCTTCCCTTAAGGGACAGTGAGATGTCATGGCGGCGCCACAGGTGTCGCCAGTTGGCGAAAGCTGCTCTAGCTTTCGCTATTCGTGACGTGATCTCTTCCCTAACTACCACCAGCTGCAATTCCGACTTTTGTATTAAGCAATCACTGTCTTCCAAGTTACCTATTGGGGTAACCATCGGTAGTTATGTCAAATGTGTAGCTCTCACAGGTAAGTGGC